ACATATACACCACACATACACAAAAGAAGACCATTAGTTCATTTGCATTCATTTGCATATAATCTATATAAGCTCTATCTCATTGTTACTGGTACATTTGCATTCATTTGCATACAGTTCACATTAATATCTGTCTCACCGGTGGCTCCTGGTGTTTTCAGAAATCTTTGCTTTGCTTTGGCTGTCAAGATGTCCTAAGCTGTAAAAGACATCTGGGGAGAGGAGAGCAAAAATAGCCATATGCATGGCTTCTATTTTCCTAGACCCTTCAGTTTTATATTTTCCAGAGACAAAAGTTTCAATGGGATAAATTTGAGAAGTTCTCTTAAAATGGTTGTTGAGAGAACAAAGTAGTTATTCCCCCCCATCCCCACCCCCACTACAACAGGAGTCCATCTAATCTTAACTGTGTGTTCAGAGTGCTTTGTCTCTGTGTCTTTATGCTGTGTAAAGTGCCAGATATAAAAGTGCTTCTTGGCCTCAGGAGGAGGTTACACTCTGTCACCCATTGAACTGACTGTATATATAGTGTGTCCCAGGTTTCATCCACACAGACTCTGTACGGATGTTGGCGCTAGGGCCTGCTCTCTGTATCATTTCTGTAGTGTAGAAAGGGCGGTGGGATTTGCCCATTGCTGTTTTTTTTTTTCTTGTTCACAAAGATAGAATGGGAAGAAAACTCTTACTGGAAGATAATATGACTCAAAATTTAAAAATTTACTTAAACAGTCTTTTAAGGAAATGAAGTTAATTTTCTTCCTAAAGTCAGGCTATAGACTGGCTTTGTCTAATTTATGAGAACCAAAAACGGAAAAAAAAGGAAAAAAATACGGAAATGAAATAAATAAGGCAATTAATAAAGTCTAGTCCAGAAACTCACTACTTTAATTATGTATGTGTGGGTCTGTGCCTGTGGCACAGGTGCCAGAGCAGGCTGGAGGTGTCAGATCTTCTGGAGCAGGAGAGACAGAGGCAATGGAGAACCTATATCTGATGTGGGTGCTGGGAACTGAACATAGGGTCTCTCCAAGAGCAGCGAGTGCTCATTGAGTCTCTGACCATCTCTCTAGCTCCAACACTAAATAGTTTAAAAGAAAAAAAAGAAATGTTTCAGTGTTTTCTTAATGGTGTTTATGACGGCAACTGAAGACATGATATAGAGTCACACCTTTTTGCTAGAAGATGCTTTAATAGCATTAGTACTGCTTTAGGTGAGCCTTCGGTAGGGAAAGATGCAGTTTTGCACTTCCACAAAGAAAGATGCAAGCCGGGTGTGTTGGCTCACACCTGGAACTCCAGCACTGGGGAGACTGAGACAGCATGATTGCCATGCGTTTGAGGCCAGCCCCAGCTACATACTGAGACCCTGTCCTCAGAAACCGAGACAGAAAGGAAGATGCAGTGTAGAACAGATGAACAGCATTATTGAAATTCCCCCACAGGCTTTGGTTGTAAATATTTAGTGGGGTAAATATTTCCTTGAAGTAGCTCTGTAGCTCTGTCAAACTAGGGCAGGTTCGCTCAAAGTACCGCCGAAGTCGGCAAGTGATTTGAAAGAACACAAATTAACTCCCCACACTTCCCCCACCACACCCAGAAAAAAAAAACCTGTCCAGAGGAGAACAGACATTGAGCTGATGGTCCCATCAAAAGCTTTCCAGACTTAATGCACACACTTGGGGTGACTTTGGAGACCAGTCTTCCCATTGAGAGCATCCCTGTCTTCAAGACCATAAAATTCATCGTTGCCTGGGGGCTCCTCCCTCCCTCTTCGTTATCACTAGTTTCCTGTTTTGTTTTGTTTGTTTTTTCTTTTTTAATTTCAGAGCTTGGAGTTTGAATGGATAAAAAGAAAATCACCAGGTATCTCCATGGTTCTATTTGATTAGGACATAAAGATAATTTTGTGGATATGGCAGACACACTTTTAAAAGACAGTTTACATTCTTGTAGTCTTTGGCCATCTTGGCATCTAAATCATCAGGGCACAGATAGAGAGTGATTACAGGGACTCGCTGCACATCTGGGAAGTGATTCGGGTGCATGTAAAGGCAGCTGTGCCATCCTACTTTAAATTCTTACCCACCGAGCGACGCATGAAGAATGGCCACATGGCCGTAGTGAAGGTGTGAAATACGGGCTGGCTGCGGCCCGACTGGAACAGAACAGATGCTTGCTTCCTCAGGAGCAACAGAAATGGTTATTAAGGCCTCCAGAGTACAAGGGGAGTTCTGAGCGATGTAGATTGGAGCTGAAAAGCCAACTGTCCGGCTGGTACTGGAAACCCATCAGTAGTGAGTGTTAGACAGTAGGTAGTAGACTGTCCTTTAGGATATATAGAGTAAAACAAATAAACAGAAACATAGTCTGAATATACCTTTAGAAGTATTCCGATGCTTTCAGGCAGCCTGGAGTGGTTTGATGAAGGAAACAGTCGTGAATGAATCGATAGCTCACAAGTGGGGAAAGCTGTACAGAAGCGTCCGTTTTATTTGCAGGCTTGAGACAGGGTCTCACGTATCTCAGCTATCAGTGGAGGTGAGCATGATCTTGAACTTCGGATTCTCCTATTCCCTTAAGTGCTGGGATTATTTATAGACGTGAAGCATTACGCACTGTTAATGTAGTGCTGGAGATCAAACCTGGGGCTTTGTGCATGCCAGACAAATGCTCTCCCAGTTGAACTGTATTTACCGTCAAATGCTAGTGTGTGTGTGTGTGTGTGTGTGTGTGTGTGTGTGACAGAATGTAAGACTAGCAGGCCAGAGCTGAAGAAGTGGCTCAAGATTAATTAAGCTCAGTTACTATTCTTGCAGAGGACCCAGGTTTGGTTTCCAGCACCCACAGAGAGCTCAAAACTGTAACTCTAGGTATAGATCTAGTACCCTATTCATGCCTCAGTGAACACTGCATGCACATACAAACAGGCAGACAGACACACACACACAGACACACACACAGACACACACACACACACACACACAGACACACACACACACAGAGCAGACAAGGGGAAACATGAAGTTTGACACATTCAGTGAGCCCACTTGGTTGGATATTTCTGGTCCAGTGTGACAAATGTGTTGCCTCTATGATGGATGGAGACAGAAGTTTCTGGGGAAGGATAACATCACAGTGCAGAAAGACCTAGAAAGTGAGGAACCCAGTGTTCTCCAGAGGCCTGGTTGTTGTTGGAACCAGGGCTCTGACTCATGCCAGTGCGTTTTCTGCCAGTGTTTCGAGTCTTGCGCTCCTCAGACAACAGACACACTGAGGAGAACACCCCCATTTCTCCATCTTGCCACTGTTCCCTGCTGGAAACCTGCAGGGCAGATGGTGGGCTCCCTCCTCTCCTGCTGTGTCTAGCCTGGTTTTTTTCTTTTCCCTAGACAGGCTGATTTGTATTTGGAGACAAACTTTTGCCCAGACATGTTCAAATGCTCGAAGAACTTACCGGCCTTGTTTGCATCTCTCTCTTCCCCCTCTGTATGCTAGGAGAGCTGAGGCAGTTCCCTCCGAGGCAGAATGTGTTAGTGGTCGAAAGGAAGGAACATTTCTAGAAAGCCATTTATTTCAATTTCCGTGCCCCACTCCCAACTTAGTTCCTAAAATCAAAAAATGCTGAAGTAGAACAAGATGGTCACTGACTGTCCTCAGACCTCCTGGGCAAGGCTTAAGTCTGCACACAAAGGCTTCAGGAGACTTCTGCTAGCTGGAAGGCTGCTTCACTGTGAGAGAACTGTTGCTGTCTGCAATGCACTGACATTCATAACCCAAGGGGCTGGTGTGGCTCATTGAATGTGAATGAATTTTAGGTCATCTATCACTTGTGGCTATCTGAACAAAATTATGTTCTTCTCTGTCCCGGTTAAGTCACCTAAATTAGGGAAGATGTGTGGGAGATAAAAAGAGGAGTGGAGGTACCTTTTGGATGGAAGATGTGATAGAAGAAATGCATAGTTCAGACCCAGGTAGCATTCCGTCACCCTCCATGTGCACATGTTCAGACGTGTGCTGAGGAATCACTAGCCTTGAGGACGGTAGGAGGATTACCTCTTGTAGTGAATGCCACTGGGTAAGGAAGGATGGCATTTACCGTGTGCCAGGCAGTCTACGTGTTCAGAGGTGAGGCTCTGCTCTCGCTCACTGTCTGGCAGGTACTGTCATTAACCCAGTGTCACCAAGAGAGCTGGAGAAATGAGCTTCAGGCTAGATAATGGAGGGATCACGGAAATGGATGTAAAGCCGTAGCACTGCCTGGCAATCTGCCTCTGTGAGGAAACGAGTGACATATTTACTTATTTATTCAGGTGAACTTGTGCCTTGTGCTCTTGTGCCTGGATGTCTAGTAAATAATAAATCTAATGAATATCATGCATATTAATGATGGCAACAATGAATTATGACTCCTAGCAAATTTGAGTGATGAAAGGCTTTCTATTTTTCTGTCTTCTGTGAGGGGACGCAGTATGACCTCCATGTAGCCTCCTCCCATGGACTCTAGAGGCCCAGGCTTTATTCAGAGCTTGGGCATCTGAGTCTTTCAGAAGCTTTCAGGGAAATTCTGTGCAGCCATGGCCATGGTTGAGTACCAGTGAGCCTGTTACAGAGTCTGCTAAGTGCACTTGCTTCCCTGGTGGCTCTTCTTTCAGCCAGGCTAGGCAGGTATGAGTGGGTTATCGTTGCTTTGATCAGTAGATCCAGAAACTGCATTTCTTGTTAGCCCTGGAATCTACAGGCAGATACTCATGTTCTCTGAGCTAGCTTACCCAAAAAATACAATAAAGAAAAGACCTGGTCCCATTTCAGAGGACTGTCCTGGACATTCTATCTCACAAGTAAAACAGCTGGGCCCATGAGTACCAGGTAATGAATATCAGCCACTATTATAGATCATGATTATACAAACACTCGTTAGCAGGGAATTAGATGCTCTGTGGCTTTTCCAAAGTGGGCTGAGCTGACTGCCTCTCTTCTTTTCCTGTCTCTTCCGTCCTCAGGATGGTTCCCTGGGAAACATTGACGACCTGGCCCAGCAGTATGCAGATTATTACAATACCTGCTTTTCTGATGTGTGTGAGCGGATGGAGGAGCTGCGGAAACGGCGCGTTTCCCAGGACTTGGATGTGGTAAGTGTGCAGCCGTGGGATGTGGCGGCTGTCAAGTGGGCAGTTCCCATTGATGCTTCCAGCCTTGCAGCCTCTTGGTCTGTCCTACAGCCCAGCTCTGTCTGCTTCTGGCTAAGTGTGGTGAAATGTCAGATGCCCAAAAGACCAGCTTTTTTCTTCTGAATGAGTGTTGACTGGGGCAATATGACCAGTAAACCTCTCTCTCTCTCTCTCTCTCTCTCTCTCTCTCTCTCTCTCTCTCTC